AAGGAATTGCAAGCCTTATTTTGGAGATGTGTGAAGGCACTGAATGAGGCAGAATCTAATGCAACCTTAGCAGAGTTAGGCAAATTGAAGCCTGCAGCAAGGGATGACATAATGAATGTGGATCCCAAGCACTGGAGCATAGCTTTTTTCAAAGCCAAAATTAAGTCATCTGTGGTCGACAAGAACATGTGTGAGGTGTTCAATGCATTACTTGTTGATGCACGACACAAGGCAATAATTTCTATGAATCAAGAAATGAGAGCTATGTGTGCAGCAAGAACTATTATTAGGAGAGAGTTTGGATCTGATAAGTTTGTGGGAGAATTTGGGCTTAAGATTTGGACTAAGATTGTATGGAATAGGGAAGGTAGCAAGAAATGCAAAGTCCTATGGCCTGGTGGAGGTGGTTTTGAAGTTGAGGATTACATGAATAGTAAAAATAAAGTCGATTCAAGTAAAAACACTTATATTGTATATTTGGAAAATAGAAAATGCACCTGTAGGTATTGGGATATATCTGGGATTCCTTGTAGACTTGCCATGACTGTATTGAGTTTGAAAAAACTGAGAGTTGAAGAATATGTTTCAGATTGGTACAAGTTGTCAAGATTTAGGGCCTCTTATGCATATGAGGTACCAGTTATTGAAGGCATGAATCAATGGACACCAACAGGGATGCCAGCCATACAGCCACCTGTACCACGAAAGATGCCTGGCAGGCTTAAGAAAAAAAGAAATCCTGAAGAATGGGAAGGAAAGAAAAAAATTGGAAGACAAGGAAGACAAATGACTTGTCAGAAATGCTTCCAAAAAAGTCACAATTCCAGATCGTGTAAAGGCCAACCGCTGAATGTAAGTAACATGCAAGCTTTATTTTGTCCCTATATTGGTGCACTAAGTTAATTATACTTTGGTTACCATTTTTAGGTGCCCCAAATGGAGAATGAACCATCTGTGGAGCAACCACCCCCTGTTGAGGACAACCAGCCACGCATTGCTGAGGAAGAACTAGTGAACATGACCCAAGAAGATCCTTTAGTGAGTCAAGTAGTCAGCCCAACTCCACCAGTTCAACAAGCCACAACTCCCACTACAAGAAAGAAAGAGAGAGCTAGAAGCGCTGATCAGCCAGTAATGGGTTTAACAACTCAATTTTTTTTTTTTGTTTAATTTAATTTTTTACCCTAAAATAATGCTAACTTTGTGGATCATGTTTGTAAAAGAAGGTAGAAAAGAGAGCAAGGAAAAATACCCTAACCCCAACTGTGCAAGAGGTAAATAACAACTTAAGTTTGTTTTTATTAATTGATAAAAGTCTCACAATATTTCTATGCACATTGATTGGTGCTGCATCTAATATTCAGGATTCGCCATCTGTGCCTCCATCTGAAACCCATTCACAATCCACAAAAACACAAAAAGTCAAGCATGCCTATCCAAAAGGGAAGGGCAAGCAACAATTTGAAGGTTTTGGAACATATGTGAATCCAAATACAAGTTTTTCCAAATTAAATGTATGTGGATTAGTTTAGCTATATGTTCTTCTTATTTCCATGCAAAATTAATTTAGTGTATTATGCTTGCTTAATGTAATTAATGTTTATTATAGCCTGGACATAGAAGTGAAAGAAATTTGTCGTTCGGATATGCTCAAAAGAGGGCTACAGGAGTTGGAGATAGAGGAATCCCCGTTGTAACTCTAACGCATGCACCAACAACACCTGCACCAACAGCACCTACACCAATAACACCTACAGTACCTACACCAATGGCACCTCCATCTATAACAACAACAACTCCCTCAAGAAGCAGTAAGCAATTTGTTACTGCCACTAACTTGCAAGCACAATTATGGGAAAAAAGAAGGCAAAAGGAATGGCAAAAGGAAGAAGAAGCACTTGGTCGTTGGGTAGAGTTATTGACTAAAATTCACACAGATAAACAATCAAACGTTTAGAAGGTGAAGTTATTCTGTGTTGTTTGCATGGATGCTTCTTTTTTGGACAGATTAGGGTGTGTATTGCCTGGATAATTGTTTTTGGACAGCCACCCCTGTTGAGTGTAAAGCTTTTTGTAGTGTGTTTAGGGGGTGCTTCTGTTTTGGACAGATTAGGGTGTATAGTACATAGAGTGATATTGCATGGACACTTGTTTTTGGACAGATATGGGAGTTTAGGTTGCTTGTTGTATTTGGCAGGGAATCTACTATAATGTGCTTTTATTTTGGATTTGAACAACATATATTTTGTAATTTACTGTATATGCATTGTAATTTTGGTATTGGGATTAATGAAATGCATATATTGACTTTTGTGAATTGCTTTAGGTAAATGACCAATTGCCAAATTTTCCTATCTTTGGATACCATAATGCTTTTGTGCAGAAATTGGTATAAAAATGTAATTGAAACAACCTAGAAACTGTGTTACCTAGAAATGGAATGCATTGCATTTCAACAATTGGGAATTGACAAAAACATAACAAAAACATTATACATATAGATACAAACACCTATATATAAACACCTATATATGTCCATTACATCAACCTAAACACACCAACTAATATGACAAGTACAGCCACGAACACAACAAAAACCACACACATTATGTGGTTGACTTTATTTGATGTTCGGTAATCCTTATCCAACTTTTTCAATTTCTTCTCAGCTATCTTCATCTTCTTCATCCATAATTCACATTGATTTGCCAAATACCCATTATCATTCTTCAAAGTCTCATTTTCGTTCTTCAAAATATCATTCTCATTCTTCAAATTTCCATTTTCTTGCACCAAATCAGTATTTTCCTTACTCAATTTCTCATTCTCTCTCTTCAGCTTCTGTTCCCTATCTTTTAATATTAAAAGCAACTCCCTTGGTCTACCCTCGATTGTCTCTTCACCAGGAAGAAAATGGAAGTACTTGCAAGGTTTCTAACAAGGTTAAATCATTAAATCAAAAAAGAAAATTCAATGCAGATGAAATTAAGCTTTAAGATAGAACATACCACCAACTTAGGGCACCCACGAAACCTTTTTCCCATGTTTTGGTAAGTGAACGACGTTCGCACCACAACATTCAAACCACAATCACAGATATATTGTAAGGATTCACCCCCACTAGCAGTAAAAGCAACCCAACTCAAGCAACTCTTATCACGAATTCCCTGCATTTGGGCAATTCCTCAAGTTCCCCCGAGAAAAGAGAAGAAGAAGAAGAAATGGGTTAAGATCGACGAAGTGGAGATGAAAGAGCAATTTAGGGTTCATAGGAGTAATTTATTGGTGCTATGGCAGTCAATGTGGGGCCCATTTGAGTTTGGGGCCTTTGACTTCGCGAGAAGATTACATGGCAAAACATTTTGTCCATATCAACACTTTTCTAAATTTTACTCTCCACATCATAAAAAAAAAAATATAAAAAATGCCACATGGGCAGAGTTAACGGCCCAAATTAACAGAAGGACTAACGAAGTGCATTTCGTATAGTTGAGGGATCAAAAAAGTGCAAAAAATTGTTAAGGGACCAAAAATGTGCAACTCACTAAAGTTGAGGAACCAAATTTAGCATTTAACCAAAAAGAGATCCACATTGAATTATTAACGGCATGTAGTGCCACATAGTGCATTTTGTAACGGTACTGTAACGACACGTTAAAATATTAGATTTTTTACGAATTTTAAAAAGTTGAGGGTGTAAATAAAAAAAAAAATTTGAAAAGTATTGATCACAAAAAACAATTAAGTGTAGGGTGCAAATAGCCCTTTTGGCCTTTATAAAATGCCTTATCCAACAGAAAAAAATTATAGGAGCTAGCTCCGATTCGACAAGTGAAAGTAAATTATAATAAAAGATTGTAACCCACGAGCGTGCGCTGATGAGTTGATAGGAGATTTCTTAATCAGAAATTTTGATTTTAAATTTTAAAATTTTAATTTTGTTAAAATTTGTAAAGAAAAATTTTGTCATTTATTAAGTTTTGTCTGACTCAAATCTAAATTAATCAATAATTTAATGAGTTTTTAGATGCCACTATAAAATATATATATATATATATATATAAATGACCGCAAAAAGCATGCTTTTCTACGCGCCTTTGGCTGTACAAGTTCGTTGCTGGACGCTATCAGATTCTTAGGAAGACTAAAATTATGTCAAGACTGGCCCACATGATTTTATTCCCTATCTAAACCACTTGTCGTATTTGCATAAGAAAAAGGAAAAATTGAGTCCAATCTAAACGCTTTTTTCTTTCTTTCTTTTTTTGGCCAAAACACAATCCATACTAATATTAATTAATTATAAGTCCAAGTCTTACAGAAAACATCTACCACCAAATACAGAAACAAAACTCTTACCAGTGCTTATAGATCATGTTACATATGCACAATACTTTATTAATAATTAAAGTTTGAGGTATAATAATGTTATTTTATTCCTCATTTCTTTACCCCAGATTGTACCCGTTCAAAAAAGAAAAGAAAAAACGAAACCCCAAATTAAAATAGAATCAGTAGACTAGTAACTTGGCTACTAACATGAGGACATAACAAGCCTTGCAAAAGTATAAAGTAGGGAAGGAGAGAATAAACATGATTGTATGCAGCACAAACCCCACAGAGAAGCTCTTCAATACCTTGGAGATTGTTGCATGCTTCAGATAGTGAAGATGAAAGGCAAGGGATGGATCCCAGGTCTCATAGCTGCAAATCCAGGAAGACTCCCTCTGCAACAGGCCTGAAACAGCTACCCCTTGCCATGGAACTCCAGCAGAAAAGCCAAGAAAGGTTTGGTGATGACAGTCTTGGTAGTGCTTGGGATAGTAGCTCTGCATGATAGAAAAGCACGCAACATCCATTGAGGAGATCCCAGGGCGAACTTTCCCACCAACAGCCTACTCCATACTTCATATCATCAAACCTTCTCCATATATCCCCTGCACTGAGATGATTGATTATCCTCCATTTTTTTTTTTTTAGGTAAAATGTGAATTTTATTACCTATAATACCAAAATTCATATACAAAGCAGCATTAGCTTTATAAGCTGCTACCAAATCTAATTACAAAAAATCAGCAAGTCAAACTTCAAGAATCAATCTCTTCCTCCTATACGCAATATCTCTAAACCCCAATTTGAGGCAATACTCAGTGACATTGGAGAGGCTTTCATCTTAGCAGTTATATTTGGGGGAGAATTTCTGATTTGACAAGCATGCCAACCACCTATTCTTGGTCTGGTATATTATCTTGGCTTTGCAAGAACATTAAGCGTAATTCTCTTTACTCTTCCCTTCTAAAGTTAGCTTGGAGTGCAGCAATTTATCATATTTGGAGGGAAAGGAATAATCGTTTTCATCAAGGTGATTTTCGGTCTGGTGATGCCCTTTTAAGTGACATTCGGGATGATGTTCGAGATCGTTTCCTGGGGTTTGCTGAGATGATTGGTTATCAAATCCTGGTGGTACTTGGATTTGTGACTCTGCCTAAAGGGAAGGTATACAGCTTCTTCAACAGCATACAAGCAAATTTTTGCGGTCAAAACCCCCTTCATCAGAAACATACCATACTACCCTCCATGTCACTACTCCACAACCATCCACATTAAAACTCAAAGAAACTTTTGCAGCCATATCTGTACTCACTCTATGCTCACATAAACAGCACTCAAAACCATAAATTTTTTTTTCCCCAAAAAACCTAAAGCACTCCTCACCGCTCTTAAAAATATCAGAACCCCAAATCAAACAGCTCACAATAAGAACCAGTTGATATTCAGTAGGACCGGAATCGAGATGATTGTTTAATTTAATTATATATATTTTTTACAAATGTAAAAATTTTATTAATTGACGATAAACTATATAAGGGAATAATCATTTTTTTTTAAAAAAAAAATTCGTGTTAAATTCAAAATTTAAAATTAAGATATTTAATTTAAAATCTCAACTCTTAACCAATTAATTCTTTTTTTTTTAATAAAGTTACAATTTTTGAAGAAAGGGGATCGAACCCCAACCCTCAAATTGGAGGATGCACCTTACAAGTTGATCTATGATCATTGGACCGTAAGACCCAAGTATCAGTTAATTCACTTTTTAATGATTATATCAAAAGTATTAGTCATTCGAGATATTGTAAAATTTTAAACATCTATTTTTCATTTTAAATAAGAATTTTTAAGTTAATAATTATTAACTTTGGAAAATTTTTATAAATATTTAATTTTTTTTATATTTGTTAATAATAAACTTTACAATAAAGATAGTTCGCTTCTTAAATGTTAAACACCTCCTATATCCTTAAGAAATTTCTAACTTAAACTTAAGCTTTGTCAATTTTTTATAAATATTTAATTTTTTTTATATTTGTTAATAATAAACTTTACAATAAAGATAGTTCCCTTCTTGAATGTTAAACACCTCCTATATCCTTAAGAAATTTCTAACTTAAACTTAAGCTTCTTTCATACATTGAACGAAAATGAAACCATAAAAAATCAATAAAGTTACCAAAAATAATCGGATAGCGTTGATCCTGTCAACTTGTATTACAAAATTAATTTAATTATTTTTATTTTATTATTATAAAATAAAATATTTTAAAAAAGAATTGGGTTACTTAAGACCAAATAATATATTAAGTTAGGTTTAATTTAAAGCAACTGCATTTAGTATTAAGTTAAAATTAAGAATGAATAATATATGTAACTAATGATTATAAGTTAATACTTAAATTAAGTTAGATTCAACCAAAAAAAAAAAAACTTTTATTTTTTATTTTTCTCTGGACTGCCAAATTTTACGGAGAAAAAGCGGCCGTCCCTGAGGGTGCGTCGCCGTTGCCGTTGTTCCTCTAGGAACTCAGATTAGAAAGCACAAAAACATGGAAGCTAAACAAACGACTCCACTGGGGATCGAACCCAGAATCTCTGGTTCCGTAGACCAGCGCCTTATCCATTGGGCCATGGAGTCCTTGTTGTCGGCGGTTCAAGATAATATTATTTATTAATTTTGTTAACTATATTTTTCCAATAATTAGCAATGACCGAAGTAAAAATGGAAACAAAAGACGCGAAATGCTATGACCAAACGAAGTGACGAGGCACCAACACCAATTATGGAAGAATCAGAAGGAAAATAGCAATTGGGAGAGTCACTTTGAATTCACTCTTTCTTCTAACCTTACCAAAGGGAAAAAATTCTTCTTTTTTTAGAGAAACAGGGCCAGTACTGGAATCGAATTCTCCCTTTTGTAGCTGAGTCTATGCATTGACAGGTAGCAGGAGCAATTGTGGGAATTTGATGGAATTCAGAATCAGACAGCACTGAGAAAAAAAAAAAAAAAAAAGCTCGAGAATTGGTGGTGGGAAATCTGATTCTGCATAAATAGACATGGGAAAACAGAGATCACTTCGGAGCAAGGCTGTCCACTTTGTGTCTGATCTCACCACTGTCCTCCTCAACCCCATCTCTGATAAACCCTCCAAGTCTCCATCTTCTGTGCGTAATCTTCTTCTTTTCCCTTCTGCTTCTTGTTTTAAGCTGTTTGTTTTGATTTTATGAGCTTGTGTTTAGGTTTTTTCCTTCATGGGTTTCTTTAGGCTGGAGTTTTTCCTCCGGCATTTAGTTAATTATCTGTTAGAATTAGAATCAGTGGACTGATTCTTGAAATTTTTTTGTTAGTACCGTATCATGATTGTAGGTTTTATGGGTATCTTGAGAAGATGCTTCCCCACTTTGTTGGGAAAGTTTGAAGAATTGCAATATGGACCTTGAATAGAATTACTACCTTTTCCCATTTGGATGCAGAAAACTTATTTCATTTTTTCGTTCTGCAAGTTGTTCATAATTGTAAGTAATGGGGTTTTGTTTTGTTAGGAAGATGAAACTGTGTCGAAAAGAAGTCAACAAGAATCAGCTGGGGAAGAGGATAATGGTGATACAGTTGATGGGCCTGACACTTCTTCCTTTACTGCTTTCCTCTATTCACTATTGTCATCTTCAGACTCGGGGCATGGTTTGAATCCTGATGAGAAAAATGATAATCGTGAGGAAACTGTTGATGCATCATCTGACACAGCAATGAAAGAAAATGGTGGAAGGAAGAGCTTACTTTCAAGGGGTAAGCAATCACTAAGATCTCTTTATCAAGCTGCTAGAATCCGTGGTTATAGAAATCAAGAGCGCAAGGCTAAATCTGATATGAAAATTGGTGATGAGGATGATGCTAAATTTGATGGGATTGAGTCAAAGCAGATGCAAAATGAGGAGCATGAGGCTTTGGTGGATCTTCCAGACATTTCTGAACCGTCCTTGCTTCTTACTGAGAAAACAAGAAGTGCCCTTTATGTTTCACTTCCGGCTCTTATTCAGGGGAGGAAATGGTTATTGCTCTACAGGTGAACAGTTGACTTTTGTTTGTAGGACTGAATTTTGTTCTTTCTTTTGTAACATTCATAATTAACATTGTTATTCAATTCATATATCTTTATGTTCTCACTTTCATAGTACATGGAGGCATGGCATATCGCTTTCAACATTGTACAGAAAAAGCATGCTCTGGCCTGGCCTCAGTTTGCTGGTAATACTTGAATAACTTTCTTCTGGAATATCTGTACACTCCATATAATCTCTAATCATTCAAGTTAAGAACCAGAAAAATTGTTAAACAAGAAGCTTTGGTGAACTAATTTTTGTACAGAAGTAAACTTGTTTATTTTATCTGATGCGTTTTGAGAATGTCTCTGAAAATTTTCCTATCTTTTGATTTGGTTGAGGTGTAAATTGTTGTTGTTAGCACATACAGAACTGAGGAGATAGTTAAGAGATGTTGTTGATCCTTTATATCTCTCTGTAGGCAAAAAGAAAGAAAGAAAGGAAAAAAATCCTCTATGTAATTACCAACTTTAGCTTATGCCTCATGGCAGGTTGTTGGAGATCGTAAAGGTGCAGTTTTTGGTGGCTTGGTTGAAGCGCCCTTAAGACCAACCAATCAGAGAAAATATCAGGTGATTGTATATCATACACTGCTTTTATTCAGCAAATGTTGAATATCTTCTTAACATAAAATTTTTAACAGGGAACAAATAGTACCTTTGTTTTCACAACTACACCTGGCTACCCAGTTATATTCCGTCCCACAGGTATTCCCCTCTTATTCTAGCTAATAAAGTAAAAGAATCTGTGAAATACCACTTCGGTTTCTATGAATCAGAATGATATTACTTTAGAATATATATAAGAATTTGGCTTGGAGAAAACAAAGGTTTTAAATTTATAGTTGTTGTGTTGATATATGGTAATACGTATTATGCATGAATGATGGAAAGCCTGACTGCCAGCAGATTGGTTTTATTACTTGAATTTGAAATACATCTTCTATAGGTTTCTTTGAAGCAAATATGAAGAAGCTTACTCACCAGATTAGATCTGAACATCTGTCTTTCAGACATTTTGTCTTAATAGTTGGTACTTGTAAATCCTTGGCACCTCTTTCCTACCTTGTAAATTGGATATATTTATGGCCATATTTGAATATCAAATGCTATAAGCCTTTAACTGCTATTTGTTGTTCAGAATCTTTCACTTATGCTTAAATATATTATTCTCACTCACATATGACCTGTAGCAGATTGGTGGAAACATCATTATTATTATTTTTTTCTCTCGTATCTTCTTTTAATCCTTTAAAGGTAAAACATATGAATGTCAGAAACTACTGCAGGAGATTAGCTGAGTTCCTCTTTGAGTGATTTTGATAAAATTGCAAATATGGAACTAGGTGCAAATCGCTACTTCACCTTATGCTTCACTGAATATCTAGCAATTGGAGGTGGTGGCCATTTCGCACTCTATCTGGATGGTGACTTGTGAGATTTCTGCCATGAACTGTTTTCTTCCCAGATCCCCTTCCCATCTTCCCATAAATTGTTGGGTTGTTTTTCCTTTTCTTTGGGAACTAAGTTGGTTTAGTTTAATTATACCTCCAGTTTTTAAGAAACAGATCTGATGAAAGCAAGTATGTAAACGATGCACTCGTTTCTCATTTCTGACATTTTCCAAATTTTCATACAAGGTTGAATGGATCAAGTTCAGTCTCAGAAACTTATGCAAACCCTTGTCTTGCACACTCTGAAGACTTTGAAGTGAAGGAGGTTGAGGTATGCATGAGCTCCTTTCTCTCTCGATCATACAATGCCACATCTCTTCTGTGCCTCTAGCTGTTGAGATGCATTTGTTGTTTTGATCACTGAATCAAGATTGAAAAATAAGGTCACAATCTCACAGGACTTTACCTCTGTATTGCAGTTGTGGGGCTTCGTTTACGGGTCGAAATATGAGGAAATACTTGCTTTAAGCAGAACAGAGACGCCTGGAATTTGCCACTGGTCAATGTCTAACCAGTGAGTAACTGAAGCTGGAGTCTGCTTTAAATAACTGTTTTCCACTTGAGTCGCTGCCCTATTTTCCAAACTTGTATATACAATTATACATGCATAACCTTGTGAATAGATCAGAGCTATGAATTGACAGTGTATCCCGCAGCAAATGAAGAATTTTCTCAAGTTTTTCCATGAATTCCTTTTGTCTCCCTTTCCTTTTTCTTTTTCTTTCTTTTTTTTTTTTTAATTATTTTTTGTTCTGCTCAGCATCTGCAAGAAATGGTAAAAGATTTTTTTGTTTCCAAAATAATTATTGGTTCTGCTCAATATCTGCAATGCTAAATAAAAGAAATCCGAACCAACATCTGAAATTACGGGATTTTTTAAATTTGTATCCTAAAGATATACGTTAAGAATGTATTTAATGTGTCTTTTAGTCATGAAGTTAGAAAAAATAGAATTTAATTTTAATTTTTATAATTAATCAATTAAATTAATACATATAGTAGAATTGATGTTAAAATTAATATTAACTATTTTGGTATTTTATACAATTTAATTATTAAAAAGTAGATTAATTACACTTTTAGAGTACAAATTAGAAAATTCCTTAACAAATCAACTGAAAATTGGTAAAGAAACCCAATTTATTTCATAAAGATAAAAGAATCCCCATAATTGATCTACATGCATTTCACCACTTAGCAGTTACACTGAAAGCCTGTTTGATACGAAGAAAGGCACACATGGCGAATCTACTAAAATTATTAACATGAGAAGATGAGGCCACATTGTTAACAAACATAGCGAAATCCGTAAAAGGCACAAGGTGTGAAAAGTTGGTGTGAAATGCTAATCGTGTAAAACAAACCCTACATAGCATAATGGAGAAAATGATTTCATAAGATGGGGTAGCAACATGAAAATCATAGGAACTAAAAATATGACAGCTTCTGAAATTCAAGTCGGTGTAAATCCTTGAGCTCCAGGACTACAAGCACAAGTGGCAAATAACTGTCACAATAAAAACATATATGATATCACTCAGCTGTTGAAATCATCGTCTATGGTGAAACTACAGCAGCCACTTCATACATAACTACTGTCAATAAAAGAAGATTACAACGGAGCAAATCTTTAGAAAAGTTACTGACAATGATATATGGTACCTCAGTCTTTTGTAATCAGCTGTCAATGAAGATGCTCTCTAGGTCACTCAAACAATTTTGCTGCAGTCTCTCTAGAAGCCCTTCTGCATGGGATGAGCGCCATTCATCAGATTGGCTGGCTCGACATCCACAGCTTCCTCATATGCAGCTACATGAACACCTAGAGCAGCACGACCAGATGGATCAAGGTTGTTCGACCATGCTGCATCCCATTCTACTGCTTTTGCTGTACTGCATGCAACACTTGGACCACCTGGAACCGTTGACCTTGCAGCATTCTGCTTAGAAATGGAATAAAAAATAAGCATTGTGCAATTATCTAATTAAGTGAATAAAAAAGGACACAACAAAAGGTGAAATTTTAATACATTTTCATGCTCCATTCAAAGATCGAACCTGGAATAAAAGATGGAAAATCTTTGACCAAGCATAGATGCACACACATAAACACACATGCATCCAGCAGAAAAACAAGCGTATATACTTAAATTACCCATGCATGCACCAGTAAGAACACAAACCCCTCTCAAAGAAACAACATTATCAGCAAGAAGGGATGGAGAAGAAAAGGAATATGATATCAAACCTTGGGGAAAAATTTCTCAAAGATAGTTCTATAATAGTATGCCTCTTTTGTGGTAGGAGTGTTCTCAGGGTAGACAAAGCTTGCATTCATCAACATTGCGTCTGTGACCTGTTGAGATGAACAACAGAGTAGTGAAAGAACAGATCTCCAGAAGAACATAAAACAAAAAATCCCATTTGCGTGATTAAATAAGATGCCATACCTGTTTGTTTGCATGATCCTTCAAGCCATCAATCCAACTATACCCAACCCCATCACTGAACTGCTCCTTCTGCCTGTACAAAATGTGCTAAAACAAAGAAGAGAAAAAAATCAGGAGCTTCTTCCATGAACATGTCCATAAACACCCAATAGCATACTACCAAGGAAAAAGAAACATGAGTAAAGAAATGACAAATTTCTATAGATTTGCTCTATGACAGAAATGCCATGGCAGATTTTCAAACCTTTGGCAGGTATGGATCTTGATCATCATCAAATGCATTGCGTAAGACCCACTTTTCAATCCTTCCAAGATCAGGCCTTATCTGTGATAAATCAGACACAAGTAATTACAACTCCATATTCCTTAGTGGAAAAATGAGAAGACAAAGTTCATAATTCTAAATTTTAGTACTCTTCCTTGACAAGCACACACATGATCAAAAAATAAAAAATAAAAAATAAAAAATAAAAAATAAAAAAAAAATAAAATAAAAAGAAAGAAGGAAAAAATCAACAAAGCTACTTATAACTGTAAATTTATAGCAATTTCATCAGCCTGTTGTTAAATAATAAAGCCTAGATAAGTTAATAAAACCTTACAGAGAGGACAAAAGCACCAAAAAGAAGGATATATTTATCATTTTATGTGCATTCTACATGAACCAGTATGATATCACAATGGAACAAAGCATGATACCCCCTAGTTATCCCCAACAATTAGAAAGTGTAACCAGAAAGGGAATCCTTGCAACAAGCATCAAATCTGGCATGTTGCTTGAAAGAAAGAAGCTAGCATGCAGAAACTCATACAACACAAGACATCTCAGTTTATCACACCAATGGATTTCCTCCCTTATGGGAAAAAGTAAAAAAGCACTAACTCAAAATAAAGTAGTTAGGTTCCCACAAAAAGTTTGTATAACACAAGACATCTCAGTTCATCAACAACAGTTCAAATTTCAGAACAGAGAGGCTGATTTAAATTTAAATTACCATCTCAAATTGACATACCATTTTCCACTCAGGATCTATGCTCATTGCAACATTGATGAACTCTTTATCTAAGAAGGGCACACGAGCCTCAACTCCCCATGCTGAAGTTGATTTATTGGCCCTCAAGCAGTCATAAAGATGAAGAGCTTTAATCTGTAGCATGCCATCAGGAGTTCCACAAGTTCTAAAATTAGATCAGGCAAAAGTGTGGACTCCACCTCCTTTCAAAGCCAGGACAAAGAAGGTAATGACCATAAAAAATACCTTTCGACATGTTTCTTGGTGAAACTCCTCCTTGTTGGGTGCCTTGTGGAAATACAAGTAACCTCCGAAAATTTCATCAGAACCTTCCCCAGAAAGAACCATCTTCACTCCTAAGGATTTGATTTTTCGAGACATGAGAAACATTGGGGTGCTCGCTCTTACAGTTGTCACATCATATGTTTCAATATGGTAGATGACCTCCTCCAGAGCATCTATCCCTTCCTAATAACATACAACAGATGGATATGGGAGAAACTCAATTCTTCTGTAATAAATATTTAAAAAATACATATTTTTCCTTCTTTTTGCAAGTGAAGCAGGAAATTACCTGAACAGTGAAATAAAACTCATGGTGACGAGTTCCAAGATAATCTGCCACCTCCTTGGCAGCTTTCAGGTCTGGAGAACCCTGCATAACAAAACACAAAGGGCATACTGGTAAAACAAACTTTATTCAAGCCATTTGAAATAACAATATCAAAAAATAAACTGTCTTCTTCAGCTGTTGGCATTTACCCTAGGAGCTAGGAAAAAAATCTGGTATTGTGGGTAAAAACTAGTTCGGATTCCAGCCATATAGTTCTAATTCCATGTAAGTACACAGTCCTTGCCATGAATACTAATTAATTTTACCAAACAATCAGTTAAGATAACAGGAGATCAACCCATTAATCAATGTCACAGTCATGAGGACAACCATGATAGAAGAAATGCACCACACAGCAATGTCACATGAAAGAATATAATTACTACCTTCAAACCTATGCAAAAAGTGTGTAACTGTGATCCCCACTGGCAAGCAACTTCTGATCCAGCCAAATGGCGAGACGCTACAGCAGCAACAAGTGACGAGTCTAGTCCTCCAGATAAAAGCACACCAAATGGCACATCAGTCATGAGTCTTTTAAGCACAGCCTGCAGGAATTATATTAAAATAGTTTGAGAAAAAAATTAGAGTAGGCTAATAAAGATAAAATCAGAAGAGGAAAATCAAAAAACAGAACTGTACACAAAGACCTTCCTACAGTTAGCAGTTAGCATCAATGAAAAGAGGTCAGACTGGAAACTTCAAACTGGAAGGGGAAGGGGTTAGAGAACCCATCTTGATTTTCAACAATCAAATACTATGGTTTTCCTTCTCTCCCTTCCTAGGTTCAGATAGGAAAAATATAAATAAAATGGGATATAAAAGGTCTAGAGAATGCCTTCTCAAAGGCCTGCCGTAAAGTCACAGGATCATATGGGGCTGAAGGTATCTGCTCTGAGAACCACGGGGGGTTATACCATCTTCTAAGTGCTCCTGCAAACATTCCAAATGCATGAATGGATATTAGTTGCTAAACCTAAGAAAATCAAACCAAGAGAAAGAAACATAGAAATCCTGCAATTTGGAATAAAGCAATGTCATGAGAAAATAAAATTTTTATATTTCCCTTCCCAGGCACTTTAAAACAGATCTAAAAGATAATAATATGCTTCAATACGAATTTCGTAATTAAATAGAATAACAAATAAAAAATCTGCAGTGAAAAGTATATCACCTTGCTTGCTTGAATATATGTGCCCAGGAAGCAAAGACATAAATCGCTCACAATCATCACTCAAGGCTTTCATTTCAGAAGCAAACCATATTGATCCTGAAAGAAATTAGCACCAGATTAGTCTAGAAGCATGCATTCATTAGGAGTTAAAATTAAAGAATAATTATAGAATTAGGATATTCATTTGCAAAAGAACTAAACCTGAAGCATTATTAACGTTTCTTAAGCATAACCAACATTATGGCAGTATGATTTCATGAAGATGGCAAAGAACATTAACATTGACAAGATTATATAATTGCATCATAACAAGGAAATAATGACAAAAAAAATTAAACTAGTATCAAGAATTTTAAGATATGTAGTGCCTATAACATAGGAAAATTACGTACCATCAAGGCCCCAGCCCATATAAAGCGGGGTTATACCAATGGCATCCCGAGCTGCAATGAAACTTTTGTCACGTGTATCAAGGAGGACAAAGGAGAACATTCCATCAAGCATGTCCACAAAATTTTCTCCATATTCTTCATACTGGAAAATGAGCAGCATTTGGAACAGAGATTATTATAATGAGAAAAAAGCCAAAAGAAAGATGCCATATAAGTGGACAATGAGCACTGCTTCGTCATTTCTGAAAGCAATTTCATTTCTCTCACACACCTTAATTACTTGCACAGGTGTTTAGTTTCTGGTTTACTGATTTTCATTGCAAATTTCAATGTATTATATTTCGGAATCAGTCCAAGTGACATCTTTCTTTCATTAATGTATGTATAATTCGTTAGTAATAAAATCAGACACAATTAACAACCACCCTGCAATGATTAAAATGGCAATACTACATTGAATCATATTTCTATTAATTTTTGTTCCTGCTTGGTACTATCTTTCCAACTTCAACTCTCTGTCAACAAAATTGTTAAAGATGAATATTATTTAGTTGATAAAAATTTAGTCCTTACACCCAGCTGTTTGAACTATCAAACAAAATTTATTTATATTTCCTTTACCAAACTGTTTTGTAGCAATCACTCTTAATTGCTTTTCGATAATTAGAAATTCCACAAAAGAAAATGAGGAGTATCATGTTTTCAGAGAAACAAGATTGCAACAACACCACTGTAAAAAAAAGGGCAAGACTGACACAAGAATGAATAAATGCTGTAAGTAACTTAATCCAGTATTACTTACAAGATGAGCAATGACTTCGCAGTCACTTCCAGTATGGAACTGGTGGGACTTCAGCTTTTCTCTCAATGCTTTGTGGTTATATATCTCTCCATTGACCTATAAGACAAGACATATCAACCAAACATGAAACTAACACCAAAAAACTGCATACAAACAGATAGTACCACCAAATGCTTGCAGTTAAGGTAGCTAGACATTTGCATATAAATACAATATGCCAAATTGACAAAAAGAGTTGAAACTGAATCTAAAATAGGCCACTGAAGCTTGTACTGCAGATTTCTGTTCAGGATCTAAAGAGAAGACAGACTGATATCTGATTTGTTCAGTAACCCTTTTCTGTAAAAAAGTGTATCGAAAGTCCAAACACCCTATCCATAAAGTTTCCTTGAGATCAATATGCTAAATCTAAATGTGACACTCAGCAGAGTTCCCACATTAGACCTACTCCATCAGTCAACAAGCTTCCAAATTCAAAATCCCAATTCAGAAACATGACTGATTGTAAATGGCATATACTGCACAAGTAACCCTTATCTAAATCCAATTATTTCTAAATGTTTCTTCAGTCATCATCAACATCTCCAAATTGACAAACAATACTAAGTTAGCTAAAGAATTTAAGGAATCGATATTACTTGAGACTTTTCTTCAACATATCAAAATTTATATCTACAAACAAATCAGTATATAATTACAACAAATTCAGAATTCCATTATTTCATAGATTCAGAATTCCCTTAGGGTCCGTTGGGTGCAGCTTCCCAAATGCTTCAACTTTTTGACACTATTCATGTTTCATAATTTCATAAGTTTAAATTTCCCTCCTAAAAACTTATATTTTTAAACATTTTTTTAACCTTAAAAAGACCCTAAATAGTAAAAGATCAAAAACTTCAAATTCAAGCTTTTCATAAACTTCCTTTTTACTCACTTTTTACTCACTTTTTACTATCTCTAAAAGCAACTTTTAAATTTTCCCTCCAATAAAAATTTAAACTTATCACTCATGAGCAGTACAAAAAAAGCAAAAGCTCCAACAAGCTGCACCAAACAGGCCCTAAAATTGCATTCACATAAGTTTGAGGAAAAGCAAGAAAAGAGGAAGTATACCGTGACAATAATCGTCTTGTCTTCGTTGTAAAGTGGCTGATCACCTGAAGTAGGATCTACAATAGCCAGACGCTGGTGAGCAAGATAACAGTCTTCATGGCAATGCAGACCACTCCAATCAGGACCTCTGTGCCTCAACCTACACTTGCAAACCAATCAAATAAAACAGTAAGAAAAAAAATTCACATTTCTAGGCAATTTTATCTCTAGGCATGCAAACGAAAATATATGAAAACTAAGAAGTCATCAAAAGACACCATCCTGCATTGATCAACAGAATAAAATGAAAATAAATAACAGCAAAAGGATTCATGTGATCTGATCTATTTTTGTTCATATTTCTGCATTACAATAAGCCATAGTAGCACTTTCTTTATTTTAAAAAAATCAGAAAGAAAACATAAGAAAAAAAAAAAAAAAACCCTCTTTCATGGATTAAAGTCTCAAAATTGAGCACAAAAAGAGAAACGAAAAATAGCGAAATGAAATGATTCGCGGAATCTAAGAAAATAGAAATGAAAGAACGAGGAGAAAAGCAACAAAGTAGGCAATTTTTGGATTCATGTGATCTGATCTATCGTTACTCATATTTCTGCATTAAACTAAGCCATGGCAGCACTTTCTTTATTTAAAAAAATCAGAAAAAAATAAAAATAAAAAAACTGATTAATGGATTGAAGTATCAAAATTGAGAAAGATTCAACACGGAAAATGGCGAAATGAAATGATTCGCAGAATAGACACTAAGAAAATAGAAATGAAAAAAATAATTTACCTTCGAGATAATTCGATGATCCGAGAGCGTTTGGCTTGAGAGTTGTCAATGCAACCGAAGACTGCAAGTATTCCGCACATAGTGAAGGCGGACGGCGGACGGCGGAGAGAAATGAGGGGTGAAAGGCGGCTGAATGGAAAGGGCAGAGAGTAAAGGGCGGATTTTATAGTCACGGCCGTTGATTCTGACCAGCTTATTACTTAGATTCGCCTGTTTTCCCCCTTTTTTTTTCTCTCTTTATTTAACAGAATCGGCTGTCCACCTTTTTCCTTTTTCTTTTTTTTTTGGGTACAGATTCGGCTGTTATCTTTTTCTTTTCTTTTTTTTTTTTACAGATTCGGTTGTTTTACTTGTGAGAAGTGAAATAAAAATAATTTCTTGTTATTTTTATATAATTTTTATATATTATTAAATAAATAAATATATATTTAATACTATAAATCTTAAATAAATAAAAAATTAATTATTTAAATTACACATAAAATTATATATAAAATAATATAAAAATATTATTCCTAAATTATTTTTTTCCTCTTTTTACAGATTCAGCTGTTTTTTCTTTTTTTTTACAGACTCCGTTGTTTTTTTTTTAACAGATTCCGCCTTTTTTTTTATTTTTTTTTTGGTACAGATTCGATTCGGCTGTTTTCTTTTGCCCCTGATTGTACGAGTTAAAAAATTAAATTAGGGTTTAGAAATGTTGACTGACTGTCGCAGATTCTCTATTTCCTGTTCTGGTCTGGAATCTCTAACAGTGTGTGAATGTTCTGCATTGCCCGCCTCCACCTGCTGGCGTCTTCACCGTTGATTTAAATTAGGGATCAGAATCTTTAGGGCATGCTTAGTTTTTGCGGAGAAAATATTCTAGGAAAGTTATTGGAAATAGGCCGAAGGTGTAATTGAGCCCCTCCAGATGCGTTGTTGTGGGAGATGAACCCCTCTAGATTTTTAATTGCCCATGCCCCCCCCTCTGGTTAAAAAACAATACAAATTAGCCCTTTTCTCTACAATGACGTCATGAAACGTTAGCACTCCGTCGACCATAACCAAACTCCGTTATTTTGCCGTAATGTTGGCGCTAATTGGGACCGTATCTGGCAACTAAAAAGAGGAATCATTAGAGCAGAACAAGAACAACAGCCTCTCTTATAAGGAGAAGCCTTTCAACATTTGATAGTTTAAATCGTGTAATATAATATTTAAATTATATGATTTTTTTGGCAAAAATTTATACAGAAGGTTGATCGATGAGATGGTTAGAGTGTCCTAACGTCATATCAGGTTAATTACAATTAGAAGTTCATATCGTTTTAAATAATTTTAAAGGTATATTTTTTTATAGAAGTTAGTGTTATTCGTTTTACTTTCAAAAAATTAAGAATAAAAAAAATAAAAATCACTTTAATATATGCTTTAAAAATATGATAGTTTAATATTTTTCAATAAAAATTTATTGAAATAACATAATTTTGAAATGATTTTTCTCTTAATTTTTAGGAGTTAAGGTTGATAAGCACTATTTTTTTTTATATAAACTTAATATATTTAAATAATTTAATTTTTTAAAATACTTCAACCTTACTACACTTACCAATAAATCTAACTTTTGATTAAAAATGTTGAATAACATCCAAGAGGTTCAAATCCTCACTCTCTCTTGGCTACAGGTAAACAAAGGCCTTCCTTTATTGAATGATGATATATTTGTTAGAATTAAGAAATATCAAGACATCTTGAAAAATCTCAAGAATGATAATGAAAAGATCTAAATGCACTTAACACATAAGAAA